TCATCAACAAGATTTAGAGTCAAGACATGAATTGGTTCGTTATTTTTATCAAATACTGTCACCCTGTTTTCCTTAAAGTGAATGTGGGCTCCCACTTTTGTTAAGAGATCTCTCCCCATCAGAGGGTAGGGGCATTTGGGGATGACCATGAATGAGTGAGTCACTCGACTTACTCCAAGATCTACCTCTTTTAGTAGTCCATGTATATCTATCTGTTGGTCCCAGTAGCTCCTTGAACCCATGTAGACTTTGTAGACATAGGTCCCATAGGACTTTTTAAAATGGAATATTGGGCTCCCATATCTACATGGAAGCACACAGGTTTCCCCTCCACTTTTAAGGTTACCCAAGGCTTGGGGAGGAGCTCTGAACCCTGTTCTCCCCAGTCATTCAAATCAGTTAACTCCAAAATGTTCGCTTTGGTTTCCTTGGTACCCCTTTCTGTAAGTAGAGGGCACTCGTGCTTCCAGTGTCCCATCTTTTTTCAATAGGCACATTGATCTCTTGGCAATTTGTCGCAAGGCCTTGTCCCTAATTTCCCTCTCTCAGTGTTGTAATCTTTATGATTAATTCCTTTAAAGGCTATCTTTTTAAGTTCATGTTTGCACCTTGGGCCTGCCGAGGCGGCCAGCCATTCTTCTGGCTTGTCTCTCTTCTAGGGGGTCCTTGTTTCATCTATTGCCACTAATTCGGTCAGCCTCTTACCTTCAAAGCCTTTGATTCTCTGTAGTTTTCTCTGGATGTTAGGAGCTGATCGGCTAATCTGCAGACTGCAGATTGATTGTTTTCCTCTTCTGGATCTGATGTGCCTCTAGTAACCTCTCTAGAAAGGCACTCAGACATTCCTCCTTTCCTTGAATGATCTGGCTTACCTTAGACAAATTTGTAGGCTGCCTTGTGGCAGCATGAAAACTCCCCAGTAGAGTCTGGCCGTAAGACTTGAGTCTCTCCTAATACTGCCTCAGTATTAGGGTCCCATTCCGATCTCCTCAGTGGAAACTCAGCTTCAGTCTGTTCTGGGATAGTGGTGGGTCTACCATCTTCACTGGCAACCAATTTCCGTGACTCCTTAATATTCCTCTCTCGGTCTTCCGTGGTGAGGAGGATTTGAAGCAGTTGTTGGCAATCATCCCATGTGGATTGGTGAGTAAACAGAGTAGAATCTAACAGATTAATTAGTATCATGGGTTTTTCCAAAAATGGGGGGGGTTTGTAATTTCCAATTATGTAAATCACTAGTGGAAATGGCCCTTAAGGGCAGGGCCACAGTAGAATCTGCCCCCCACCCCAGGGCCCCGGTGGGGGATCTTCCTGTCTGGAGCCTGCTCGCTTGTGAGGCAGACTAGGTATACCCCCTGGTGGGACGCCCCCTTGATCTGTCACTGGTTGTGGATAAGGCGGCTGTGAAGGTAAGAGATCATCTCCTGAGGGATCTGATGGTGGCAACACAGGATATAAGGGAGTGATTGGCCCCAGGGGTGTTTTGGGTCCCTGAGTATCAGCTCTGGCTACAGCAATAATAGCTTTGGGGGGCAAAAAGGGCTTTAACCAAGGTGGCGGGGTCCACCAGTAGGACCTGCCAGGTTGTAATATGGAACCTGGTCGGATGGCCAGGATTCCCATAGACAGTGGCCTTAACACAGTATGTTGTCAGCAGATCGAAAGTGCCATCCTCTGACCAGCCTACGTTAAATGTGAGCCACTCATTCCTGCAAAAAACAAACATCTTTTTCTTAGTTATGTAAAGTCCAAGACCAGATGCAGTGCCGTGGACTTCCTGAAAATGATCCAAAATCAAAGTTAAGGGGGTAGATTGGGTTTTTCCCGTTTTGTCAGAAAATTCCAAATAGGCAATCAAAAAGACAGACAAACAAGGCCAACTTAGACATAAGACCGAGGCTTACTAAAACCAAACCTAAAGTAGAACCAGAGGTTCTGCGAACGGTTCCGAAACCAAAAGGACAGTGTCCTTACCAAAGGGGTTTGGGACCATCTCCCAGACCCTGCGGCGTGGAGTCCACTACTAGCACGTCTGCCTGGATTTCCGGCCCTCCAAAATGATCCGGATCACAATTTACCAATAAACAATTATCAGACATTAAGAGAAAAAGGAAAAACAAAAATAAGGAAAGGGTACTCACGGATTGGTCTTAAAACTCGAGTGCTCAACGCAGTAGGGATCTTCAAGGGGCAGCGAGATCCCGGATAAGCCCCCAAATGTTGTGCCTGAGTGTTGTGTCCCCAAGAAGACCACCACTCATTATGTAACACACAAGAGCACTTTGTTAGCACAGCATGTAGTGGGTCTGCCAATCTAAGATTGGAGACCCCGAAAAGCAATTTCAAGACGTTTTTATAGGTTTTGGGATACATTAGCCTTAGTAATAAGCTCTATCTCTATTTTGATTGGTCAATTATTACAGTTAAATCTTATTGGCTGTTATTGGGACGGTGGGCTATTTTGGGATGGGTTAAGAAACAGTCATGTGGCCTCCCTAGAGGCTTATCTAGACAGAACAATCCATACTTTGTACATCCTGTGTTTTTCCAGGGACTTACTTGTTTTTTTCTACTGTCACGAGACACATGGGTTCAATTTTAGGTTAGGCTCAGTACAAAATGGAGCTCTTTATTACAAAATGAAGTCACTCTGGTCTCCTCAGTGTGCACATACTTACACATCATACTAAATTTCATTTTGTGGATGCCTCGTCTTTGGTTTCTTGTAATTTTTTTTCTTCCTCACTTTTGGCAAAACAACTGTTGTCTTTGTAGAAATATTGTATAATTTTAGAGTGAGTAGTGTTGAATGTACAATTTGGATTTATTTTTTTCTTCTCTGAGTATTGAAATAACATTTTTAAAAAGTTTTCAGAAGCAGTTGTCTTGTTAACTCAACAGCTTAAACTCAGAGGAAGTTTTTCTGTCTGAAATTGCAGTTTAGAGGAGGTTTTCAGCCTAAAATCCTCCTTTTTTGGCCTCACAGTAGACACTGATAAGTTTTCAGTGTCCAAGAGGACTGTGTTAGCAACTGTGTTGGCTGATAGCCTTTTTTCTTGTATGATTGGCTTGTGCATGCTGTAAATTTAAACCTGGTGGAGAAATTAATATGTCTATATTTTCACTTGATAATTCCAGTGGGCTATAGGGATTTTTGGGGGTTTACTGTCTGTTAAGCAGATGATTCATGTATGCAAAAGTTCTGTAGGCATTAGAGTAATTTTTCCTTTCCTTGAAATATGCTTAGAAAATTGAAATCTAATCTGAAAATTTATTTTCTATGTGGGAAGAAGTGCTAGGTTTGTGACATGTGCTTTCAGCCTTATGACCTTGCTTCTAGATGATCACTATTATTGCTCCTTCCTTGGTATCTCCCAAAGGCTGTTGCTGATGTTTTTTATTTTTTCTGAATCCCTAAGGGTAATTGGCATGCTTATTGGAGTGAGGCCTCCCTTCCAATCAGGTTTGATCTCTGAGCTTCATAGGGAGTCTGATAATTTTATGGTTTGGGCATGACCAAAGAGAATTTTCTCTGTGTCTGAGGCATATAATTGCATCTGATATATCTGGTGTTGTGTAAGTAAACAGGAACAATCTTTTGTTTGCATATGTTGTTTCCTATCTGGTCTGGTAGCATGAGAAACAGATGGTTCTCTCATTGATCACGGGCTTCCTTTTGTTGCATTTCAGCATGGAGGGCAAGGATTATGGGGTGTTCTTCTTTCATTGTGTTTTTAGTTCTGAACACCTGATACCCAGACAAAATTTAGTAAAGATTTTTGAACAAATGAGGTATTAGGGAAGATGATAAAAGATCAGACAAGATACATCTTGCTATTAAGGATTCCAAAATGACTTTACACAAATGTGTTTTTTCCCCTGCTGTAAACTTTTTATGAGAATCTTGGGTTGGGAGTTTGGGACTTAATCCTCTCATTGCATACTTTAACAACTTTAGATTTTTCTTGTTGGATTTAGTTCTTGAGGAATTTATTGGGGAAATGGTTACTGGTAGAAATTTGGATGACTGTAAAAACCACCTAATATTCCCTAAGGCCCAAAGGTTGTTTTTGGAAGCTGTTACTTTTGTTAAGGCAGAGATAATAAATGTTTAGAGAAACTATTTTTCTTGGTTCTGAATGAGAATGGGAGATTGAGAAGATGTGTATGATATAATTAAGGGTAATTGAAAGACTTGTTTTGGAGTTGTCACTTTCATTGGTGTCAAGCATATTTATTTTTTAAGGACCTCTGGAAATTTGAAGAAGTATGTAGTCTTCAGAAGATAGTCCACTGTGTGACATCCTGAGATGTTTCCCGCAGTTCTCCACTTTAGTATTTTTTTAGGTGGAAATCATTTTTACTATAGGTACTTTTCTCCTTTAAATTTATATTGCAGGTTATGAAGTGCTTGTTTCTAATTATTATGTGTTGTCCAATAGGGTACACTTTATTTTTTCCTTAATCAGAAAACAACTAGTATACAGGAGTGCAGTTTATTCTTAGCCGGCAATATTTTTTTTTTTTTTTTTTTTTTTGAGATAGGATCTTGCTATGTAGTTCCGGTTGAACTCACTATGTAGCAGTGGCTGGCCTCAAAGTCTCAGGAGATACTCCTGCCTTTCAGCCTCCCAAGTACTGGGATACAGGTGTCTGCCACCATGCTCTGCCAGCTGGTTTTTAACATTGACGTTGTAAAAAGACCTCAGCCATTTACTAGCTGAGGCCAAAATCTGTATATGAAAGTTGTGTGTCATTTGCTGTAACTTTAGCTATGGTCTGAGACTTTTTTTGAGTACCGGGGATTAAACTCTGGCCCTTGCACTTGCCAGACAGGCGGTGGAAATCCCACTGAGCCAAATCCCCAGCCCTGTGAGACACTTTTTAGATAAGTCTAAAGCATGAATGAGAGATTTAACAAAACATTATTTTTTTGAAGAAAATAAGAGGAAACATTTAAAAAAAAAACAAACAATTTCTTCCTCTCATTTCTCTTACAGCATTTTTGAAACGTTGGGGTTATTGGAGTGGTTGGATTTTCCCTGGAATTGAGTGAGAAATTCAGAAGACTGAAGCCCAGGCTTACAGTCTACCTTTCACGGAGGCCTAGCCGTGAGAGGACAGAAGAAGGCACGTGGCGAATCATGACAGCTGACAAAGACAAAGACAAAGACAAAGAGAAGGACCGGGACCGAGATCGGGACCGAGAAAGAGATAAAAGAGACAAAGCAAGAGAGAGTGAGAATTCACGGCCACGCAGGAGCTGCACCTTGGAAGGAGGAGCCAAAAATTATGCTGAGAGTGACCACAGTGAAGATGAGGACAATGACAACAATAGTGCCACCACTGAAGAGTCCACCAAGAAGAACAAGAAGAAACCACCGAAAAAAAAATCTCGTTATGAAAGGACAGATACTGGTGAGATAACATCCTACATCACTGAGGATGATGTTGTCTACAGACCAGGAGGTAAGGAGACTGCACCTGTGTCTTCACAGAGCTTGTGGGAGAAGAATCATCTTAGCATTTTGATGAAAGAAATGTCTTTATGTGTTAAGGCAGGCTTGGAACCCAGAAGAGTTAGACAGTGTTTTGGGTAGGAAAAATTAATAAGCATGTGACCTAGCTTAGGCCTGTTGAACCACTTCTTTCTTGCTTGTGTGTTCCTTGAGTTGGCCTTTCATTTGGTTTGTGTGTTTATAAGTTCTTCCCTTGTTTTCTTATGACACTTGTACTTTCTCTTAATCATCTGCTTGGTATTTCCTGTCTTTTGGATTCAGCCTTGCTTTTCACTGTGACCACCCATAAATTAGGCTGTGATGACTGTGCGGAATAGAGTACAGAGACGGTGGAGACAAACCTCAAGATTCTTGGAAACAGGAAATATTATGTTGGAACAGTATTGGCCAGAAGCTAGATAGGTCTTTTTTTTTGGTACTGGCGATGGAACTCGGGAATTTGTGCTTGTGAGGCAGGCTGTGGTGCCACTGAGCTACATCCCTGGCCCCACATAGGTCTTTTTAATAGCCTTCTGGTCAAGGGTCATCTGTCCTATTAGTTTCCTTTCCCAGACTATTGAACTTGAGCATCACTAATCATTGATAATAGAGGAAGGCAACTAACCCGTGAGGTTCACCAGAAAATGTACTTTGGCCATGCATTGTATTCAAGCTTATATCTTTACTCAAAGACACAGACCCAGCTTTTTCATGAAATAGTCGGATGCAGATGATTCAGAACCTGTCCAACCCCAGCAAAGTCTTTTTTTCATTGGAAATGTTTTGTGTTTTAAGATGGCTTTCCTACAAAAGTCAGGAAAAGTAGTGAAGGTCCCTTTTTTTGCCTGACTTACTCTGAAGAGGAGTGACAGTAATTTCATAGGAGATATAATTAACAGATTAAAGACACGGCTTTGGTGTTTTTCCAAGAAATGGTTAAAGGACTTCATTGTGTTTTGTCACTAACCAGATACAGTTATTTCATTGAAGAATACTCTGAGGCTGGGATGTATTTAATGGTGCCGCCGCCTGCCTCGCAAGTTCAAGATCCTGAGTTTGATCCCCAATACAAAAAAAAAAAAAAAAAAAAAAAAAAAAAAAAAAAAAAAAAAAAAAAAAAAAAAAGACAGCAGAAAATAAGTTAAAAAAAAAGAATACTTTGTTGTGAACTTTACATAAAGTTTTAGATTTGTGTGTGTGGTGTGTGAAAAAAAAGACAGCAGAAAATAAGTTAAAAAAAAAGAATACTTTGTTGTGAACTTTACATAAAGTTTTAGATTTGTGTGTGTGTGTGTGTGTATGTATTTTGATTTCCCAAAGATGATCAGTGTTAGAATATACACAGCCTGCATTCACAACTATAATTTCTTGGTTGAATATTAACTAAGAATATACATATATGATTTAAACTGTCAAAGTTGGAGTTTTAGAGAAGCTAGAACTGTAGTATAGACAGGTGGCCTCATGCCGGTTGCCATGCTGTTTGTGTTTGTCTCTGATTCAGTTACTGAACAGGAAGTCTCAGACACTGAAGACTCTGTACACTTACCACACATTGCTGATTTGATGGACTGTTTGCTTCTGAATCATGAGAAAGGAACAGAATGTGTTTCAACTCATTTAGCTTTTGAGTATATACCTTAAAAATAAGAAGAGATCTATTTGTTATTTTCTCTTGATACTTAACCTTTTAATTTGGTAATGTGCTCATAAGGATCATTGTCCAAAGGCCCGCTGCCATGTGCAGTCCTGCGTAGAAGCCTCTCCCAGCCTCTGTAAAATGGGATGTCCTTGTGCTGGTGGGGACACTGCACTAACATGTTAGTATACTTGTGGGAAATGCTGCTCCACTGTCCCCCAGGAGAGACGATAGTGACTGTGAGAAGCATTGCAGTTAAGGAACCTCTTACACATTAAAACACCTGCTGTTTTCCCTGTTTGTAGAACTGTGGCACCCTGTTTCTACTGAAAGTCTTTTGGAAAACAACCTAGTTTTGGGAAAAATCTGTGTGGGAAATATTACAGTTTCATCCTGCATCTTTTATGGAATGACAGGAAGTCAGGTCCTCCTTCCTTGTTCAAGAAGTCTTCTCTTCTTGATCTTCCAAAGACTGTGTGGAGGGAGATTGCTAAGGAATCATGTACAAAACTGTTATTACTAAACTGCTTTTGGGGGCACTTTGTACCCTTGGTATCTACAGGGATTGATTCTAGTGCCCTCCTCAGTTACCAGAATCTGCAGATGTTCCATGCAGTCCCCTATGTAAAATGGTGTACTACTTGCACATAACCAGTGCACATCCTCCCATATACAGTACTTTCAGTCATCTCTAGATGATCTATAATACCTAATACAGTGTAAATGCTGTGCAAATAGTTGTTTTTCTGTATTATTTAGGGAATAATGGCAAGGAAAAACGTTTGTACATGTTAAGTGTGGATGCAGTTTTTTTCCCCTTCAAATAGTTCCTGTCTGTGGTTGGTTGACTCCATGAATATGGAATCAGCTGATATAAGAGTCTGACTGTATTTATGGAGGCATGTCTTATTTCAGTAAATATGAAGATTTTTGAGATGTGAAAAAGATGGGCTTTGTGTGGAAGTTCAGTATGTTAGAAAAGCTCTGGATGGTTTAAAGGTTAACTGTAGCAACCAGAGTATAACCACTTCATATGAAGTTTCCCTTGTGCTTGGGTAGGGACAGTGCTGTACCCTACCTAGTCCAGTACATATTTGATTCTTTGGTCAAGAGATTGTTTTTAGCTTATTCAGTGGTTTCTTTTGGGTGTTTAAAGTAGTAGTAGGAGGAGGACAGTACTACTGTGCTACAGAGAAGGTGGGGATGGAGACACACCGACCCTGGGTTGAAAGAGCAGGGGACAAAAACACATCCTCCCCGGTCATGCCTCCAGTGACCCACCTCCTCATGCAGGCCCACCTCCTACAGCATGTTCAGCTCTGAGCTCACCAGTGGGTTAATCCGTGGATGAGTTTAGTACCCTCAAGAGCTAGTCAGTTTTCCAAAGGCCCCCACCTCTGAACACGTGAACCTGGGGGCACATTTTGTGTCTACACATAGGAGAGTCTCAGATGGGAGTTATTTTCCTTCCTAGTCTTTTTTTTCTTGGTATAAATTACTACAGTAACACCCTCTGTTGGTGATGACAACACTGCCGTCGCCAATATGCAGAGATTCTTTGTGCTCAGTTGTTTCTCCAGTGTTTAGGACCTTAGAGAATGACAAAAGTGGAATTGCCAAGGTATTGCTAGGTTTTCAGTTGAAGATATTTTAATCTCATTTTTTTAGGATATAAAAAAACACTTAAAAATTATTTTGCTAAAAATTCATATTATTGGGCCAGGGATTTAGTTCAGTGGTTCTGGCACCTGCCTCGCAAGCACATGGACCCAAGTTCTATCCCTGGTACCAAAACAAAAACAAAAAACTGTTTTACTTTTTTGAATTGGATTTAATATTCAAATAAGTATGAATTTAGCTCTTTTGGAAAATGTCAATAAGAATGAGCCCAGCACTGAGCCTTTGAGGGTAAAAATAGGCTTTTATATAACTGTACTTTTCCATAGGGCAGGTTGTTTGCTTTGAGAAGCATGAGACTTTATTGAGAAATTAGGTATTTCAAATCTCTAAGATTTTAGTTTGTGCATTGTCACTGCTGGTGATGTTTTTGCCTTTGCTCCTCATCTCCGGAGTTATCTATATTGCAGCATAATGAATGTTGTCCCTTGCACCGTCTCGTGGCCTCTGCAGTTCTTGTCGTTTCAGCATGATAGCATCACCCCTCCTACCTAATTCCTATCCTTTCTCTGTCCACTCCAGTGGCACTGTCTTTCCTCTCCCATGCTAGGCAGATTTCCTTAACAGATTCTGTCATGGCATTATGTCCCTTTGCTTCCAGCACTTAAAGCAACAATTATTTTTTATTTATTCCAATTGTTAGATTAAATCTGCTTCCTGCCTCCCAAAGGCAGCAACTGTTTTTGTTTGTCATGCAATTTGAAGTGTCTATGACAATAGTATATGTCCACGTGTATTAATTACATAATATTTGTGAAATGTCAACATTTAAAAAAATTTTTATTTACTCTGATAATTGATGTTAAAGTTATAATAGTTCTCTTGAATTTCACCTTGGAGCATTTATTTCCCAATGAATGATTTAACAGACTCACTTGAGGCTCTATTGTGTATCACCCCTGTGTCTAATCTAACTTCTTTGTTGTCTGTCAGCTGTAACTCTACCTTTGAGATGACAGTCACGGTAACAAATTGATTTATTACACAGCTGTATGCAGCCAAATTTCCCTCACAGGCTTCTTTAGCATGAGGCATTGATTTCTAGAGTTTGCTATAGTTGGCATATTAATTTCTTTCTACTATTTTCAGTTAGGTACTAAGGAGTTTAATTCCTTTATTCCTGATCCAGATAGAACTGGTCCAAAAATTAAATTCCTGTTGGGAGATATTTTAAAATTTGACGTTGGAATGTTGTTTCTGTTTGGAGAAGGAAAAATGTTTTTAAGAAGATCCTATTAAGCTGGTTCTTCCTTTCTTGTATTCTGTCATTAACTAATGATTTTGTTTGACTCATCCAAGAATAACACTTAAATTAATTCTTATCAGTTAAATTAAAAATCAAGATGTTCAAGTTGGTATTACCTGTATTCCTTTTACAAAGTGCAAAATGAAATTTTCACGAAGGTGAATTTTATATATAAAAGGCAAAGAATTTGAGATTGTGGTTTGTGAAATCTTAGATGGTGTAAAACATTTCCCCCTTTTATTTGCAGAATTTCTCTGATATTTTTAGGAATTGGGACTTGAAGTAAAAAATGACCTGGAAGGTGGAATTAATTATACATTTAACAATGAAATGTTAATTCCTTTTGATACAAATTGAATTTAAGATGGGGGGAAAAATCCAAATTAAGCAAAATGAAACCTGGGAATGT